TGAGGATCCCCGGATGGTATAGGAATACCGAAAAAAACTTTTCTGTTTTATCATGCATAAAATAAACAAAAATTTTGGTTTTGAACTAAAGAACCTTGAAAATGATTTACGATCAACCGTTAGAAAAATCGAAAAGTTAAATTGAAAGTTAATATATATATATATATATATATATATATGTGTGTGTATGTGTGTGTGTGTGTGTGTGTGTGTGTGTGTGTGTGTGTATGGTCCCATTTTTCACAATGATACATGAGACTCGCGGACATTAACGTAGTACATAGGTACAGTGCTAGTAAAAATGTTAGAACACCCCTGTTTTTAATGATAAATTATGATACACAGAAGATATAAATACGAAACTTTTAGATATAATATAAAGTGACGCTTAAAATTTTTTCTCTGATTTATCCCAAAACATTTAGAAAAAATGATTATTAGCGTTGTAAAAAGGTTAGGAAGACACCTTTGGTTTTTATTTTGTTTTAGAAGAACACAAAGTTGAAAAACCGATGTAAAATAATTGGATTGTGTAAAACATAAATTGTAAAATTTAAAAAGTGAGAATTTGTTTGTAAAATTTAGTATATAAAAATAAGGAAAGCAAATTAAAATTAATTTTGTGTGAAATAAGCACGGGGGAAAAGCTATGCTGACCGAGATTGAGAAAGGACCCATTTTTGCTTGTAAAAGTCAAAATTTTTTCGAATAAGATTTCTAAGGAAGAGATATTGTCAGAAGATTCTTTAACGATCTAGAATAATATGGAATGAGTTATCTCTTTTGCAAACCAAAAAAATTTAAAGCCAGAACACAACATCGCTTCATAAAAGCTGCCTCTAGTGGAAACTATTCCTGCAGAGATTTTTTCAATGAGTCAAACGTGCGTCTTATGAGCTGGCCAGCATGCTCCCCAGATTTAAACCCAATTGAGAATGTTTGTGGTGCTTAAGTAAAATCTGTGTATAAAAATAAAAAACAATTTTTTTTTGTAAATTTCATCAGCCTGGAAAAATTTTGATAAAAACTTGATAAAAAAATTATTTTATCAATGAAAAAAATGTATAAGAAATAAAAAGAAATGTTTCAATGAAAAAATATTAACAAATATATTTTACATGTTAAAGTTTTTACCTAATGCTAATAAATTTGATCTAATAGGCTTAAAAAATAACTTTTTTATTGTTGCTCAATCAACGGCGTCTTAACATCCTTACAATGCTAATAATCACTTTTTTCTAAATATTATGTGATAAAAGATTTCGAATAAAATGAAATAATGATAAAACATTTAAAACAATAATTTATATTATATCTGAAAGTTTCATAAATCTATCTTCTGTTGATCATAACTTACACTGAAAAAGCAGGGGTGTCCTAATCTTTTTACCAGCACTCTACTTACAATAAGTTAACATGTCCAAAAATGTAAACAATTTACGTACCAAATATGAATTCATTGGTGTTGACTGATGAATATTAAAATAAAACAAAACTGCAATTCATTGGTGTTGACTGATGAATATTACAATAAAACAAAACTGCAATTCATTGGTGTTGACTGATGAATATTACAATAAAACAAAAATGCAATAAATAATTATAGATTGGCAAAAGATCAGAATTAATAGAAATTTTAAGTAAAACAAATATATACCCCGAAAACAAAGTTTGTCGTCAGTAATATAAATCTAATCACGTCGATCGTCATCAGGAACGTTAAAATTTGTTCTTCTTCGTAATTCAAGCTATTTATGTCATATTTAGCCAAAGACACGCGGCCCGTTTCTGGTTGATCATCTTCGTTATTGTTCGTTTTATTTTGTGCGTTGTCGTTTAAACATGTACCATCTGTTTCACAATCCAAGTCAATCGTTGTCTCATCGTCTGGCTGTTCTATAAAAATTAATAATCTTAGTTTGCATTTATATGCTAGATATATTTTATCAGCAAACGTATAAATGTCGCTATGATTATTATTATTCTTATTCGCTTTTAAAATAATTCTTACATAACATGTAAGAAATATAAAGTTAAACAGTTAATATAAAGTTAATCAGGTTAGACAGTCCCAACCAAAGCAAACAATAAATATTTTATTATAATCACTAAGACTGTATAACTTTAAACATGAATGTCAGACAATCCACACGACAAGCGTAAAACCAACTAGCAAGCAGGCCACCCAACCTTCCAATAAAACCCAACACACAACAAAAATATGACAAAGTATAAAATTTAAATAACTAATTCTAATAATAAAAATTAAACGACAAATAATAAAAATAATCAATAAAATATAAAAAATTAGTCTGTTTGTTTTTCAATTAAATATTGTTTCAATTGTTTTTTATTATCAGCATGGCAGCAGACTTTTACATTATAAATGACAGTAATATAAATCTAATCACGTCGATCGTCATCAGGAACGTTAAAATTTGTTCTTCTTCGTATTCACAAATAAGCAGAAATATAGCAAGTCGTGGCTATGGGGATGACCACCTACGATCTCACGGTGCTAGAAGCCTTGCGCTCTTTTTATGAAACACTTGAATAGCATTTTATATTAACGTCAGGATAACAAAGAACACATCATATATTTGATATAATGGTAACAGGATCAAAAACAGGAGGCTGATGCATAGATGCATTTATTGATTGCTCGAGATATTAACATTATTAACTTTTTAGCCTCTTATAGTCTAGCGTTCAAAGGTCACAGAATGTCTCAAAGAAAATCACTATTATATAATTTAACTAAGCTATAACATTCAAAATAAAAAAATTACATTGATACAGCTGAACAAAAACTGTTTTTTTTTAATTTAATTTCTGATTTGATATGTCATTTTTTTTACATTAATGTATATATTTGGGACATTCATCTATCCATCCTTATATATCCACCTATCTATCTATCTATCCATCCATCCATCCATCCATCCATCCATCCATCCATCACATATCTATCTATCTATCTATTTAATGAAATGTAACGTAATGTGAAAAATAAGCGCAGGAATACCCCTCTATGTCTATATCTTTTGTTTATAAGAGATCTATCAAAAACCTTTGTTTCTTCTTACAATTGAAAAACATAGGCTGACTATTTCTAAATCCATCTAATGTTTTTCAAATGTATTGAGCGACGATGAGCTAACCACACCATTTTGGAGGCTGTTTTATGCACCCATCACTCTTTCCTTCTGTGAAACAAAACATCCTGATGTCATAGCGCGATTTGTGAATGACAAGCTTGTAGTTATAGCATTAAGTTTTATTAAACTGGCTCTATTCACGTATCCATCTATCCATTTATCTATATATCTATTCATCCATCCATCCATCCTCCCATCTAACCATAAGAAATTATAAAGTTAATGTAATAAAACAACGAAGTCCAGAGCCTCGTCTAAGAAATTTCCACTAGGTGACAAAGTTTTAAAAGTTTTGGAAATGATAACTATAGTATCAATTCTTTTCAAATCACGGGTGCCTAATAGATATTGCATCAACTTTCATGGAAGAATACAATTCTTCAATCTTGCGGTAAAAACAGATTACAAGCCTAAGGAATAAGCTAATTTGAACCAGGAATGTGCTAATGACAAAACGTCTAATTTAAATTGTCAATAAAAAATTGTTCATGATTTTGTTTATGTAAATGTTGATGCGTTAAAAATGCACATGCACTAACTCTTTTGTCAATTTGAAATAAGTGATATTTTTTTTATTAACGACACAGTATCAAAAAAAAACAATTGATGTTAAATTAGCTAATCACAAGTTATTTTCAGTGTTAAAAAACTTTTTTACAAATTCCCTGTTTCGGTAAAGTTCATCATCTGGTAGAGTCGATCGTCTCGTTTTTGAAGAAAGAAAATCAGCCACCACTGGCCGAGGATCAAAATTTGCGGTACCTATAGCATTTAAAGCAATGCATAATCGGTCATTCACAGTATTTCTCGACATAGATGATCGAAGGTCGCTTTTTAATTCTGTATGCCATGAAATTACCAGTTCCGTGATCATGCTGTGAGGGCAAGTTATAAAAAATGTTTGAACCAGCTTGTTTAAAAGAGACGACGGTGTTGTTTTTTGTAGCAATAAGTACAACTTGGCAGTATTGCTTTCATGCGGCTTAAAAGATGAAGCATCAAATGATGAATAGTAACCAACAGCATCATCTACAAATTCTGAAACATAATTATCACCAAAAATATCTGATACAATTTGCCGACCGGCTTTGATTATTGCTTCAGCATTTTCAGCATTGGCAACATCTATCATTGCCTTTACTTGTAAATCCTGATCGACATCCAACCTTCTCTCAAGGAAGTTTTTTGCACATGTGATTACCTCAAGACGCACTGCTTCAAAATTTCTATTGCGTGTTGTAACATACAAGTTTTTCACATTTCTCTGAAATTGATTATCATTTGCTTCAGTTTGCAAGTCCACTATTAATTTGTAACTTTCCTTCATATCCCCCAGGATATGGACTGTTTACTATCATGGAAAGACGCTGAAGTACGTGGTCGCGTTTTTGCATCAAATCAGCCAAGGTAACAAACGTGCGTTGAGCTTCTTTTTGTAAATAAGTGAACTGTCGCAAGATATCCAAAGCAACAGCACTCATGTTTAAGTTGAATGAAGTTTGGGACCAATCCTTCAGAAAACCTCTTGCTTTGTTTTTCATTATTTTCACCTTGTTGTACAACTGTTTCCAGTGAGCGTACATCATCTGATGATTAGACAGAACTGCAAGTACAACATTGGCAAGGTGTTCCGCAAAACGAACTTCATGATGCCGTGGAAAATGTTTAGCAGTCTCACCCAAACTTGCAGCAATTTCATGCAGGTTTTCTTGTCGGTAGCTTGATCCACGAAAATAAGTAGCGACATTTTTTACATCTGTTAACCAATGACGAAACTCCGGAACCACGTTTTCAACGCTTTCAAAAGCCAGGTCAGATTTGTGAGCTATGCACTAAAATGTCAACATGTTGTGCCCTAAATACTCAGACATCTTTACCCACAACCCTCCGTGACGTCCAGTATTTGAATTTTCCCCATCTGTCGTGAGACCCACCATCTTTGCTTTAATGACATCTTCAATTTCAAGATACTGGAAACGTTTCTGCAAAACATCGACCATCCCAATTACTCCTCTTAACTCACTGTGGCATTTGCCAAGAAAACTAGCTTTCATCTCAAAATTAGTGTAGTCCATGTATCGGGCAGTAACAAACAGACTGTCAGCGTTGTATTTATCAACAGATTTGTCAATTTGCAGGGCGACACAGTCTGCGATTTTCAATGCTTGAATAACTCTGCTCAATTCATGCTTGGACACAAATGATAATATCTCTCTGTACCGGTCAGGATTTCATTTAACCGTATTATCTATATACATTTCAAATTATAAATTTATGTGCCTTTGAATTTTGAACCGTTTTTTACGTTTGGTTTCGTTTACGTTACGCTTACGTGTGATTAGTCATTAGTGACGTTACCCGGCGAAATTATGAGAAATACTTTCAAATTTGTAAAAAAAATGCTATCAAAATATAATTTATTTAACAAAATATTTATTTAACAAAAAGAAAAAAGACTTCTCTATTCTTCAAATTTGAACCATTGTTGTTGTAATTATTTAAATCAGAAAATTTTATTAATTTTTAAATAGTACTCCGTCGTCTCGTCAAAGAAAGCAACCAAAGATATTTTATATATAAAGATTGAAAAAACATACAACGAATTAATTGATGTTGGTTGATACATCAGATTTATATGCTTATATATAAATGTATGAAGCCAGCTTTTATAATTTTGAAAATCAATTTTCTCGTAATTAAATTGTAATACAAAATTGCTGTCATCCAGTGGCACGAAATCAACATTACTGGGTGACAAAAAATCAACGCTGGGTAGCATTTTTGTCACCCAGTTACAATGTTACACGAGGCCCTGACGAAGTCATAAACAAAATATTTTTATTAATTTTTTGTATTTGCGTTCAAACAACATACAAAGCTTTTTTCATCAATCATTTGTTATCATCTGTGTTGGATACAAATTTTATTTTAAGTGTCTACCAACATAAGCTTTAAGTCTCTGTGGTACCGTGTGTCTTCACTAATTGACTTTAGTTAGTAGGGCACCAGTAGTGTTGGACTGCACATGCAATCGTCTATTCTTTATTTAAGTCACGCGGCGATTTGCTATTTAAGCTAAAGAACAACGGGGAAACTTTTTTTTACAACTTTTACGATCGAACTCATCGCTGTCTATTTGCATAGTCAAACACGTTTTCTATATTTTATTGTATCAATAATATATATTACAAACAATTTGCTTGTTGTTTCTTATATTGTAAGAAATCTTGCAACAAATTGGTGACCACGACGTGATGGCTTGCAAAACTACAACTTTGTAGTTGTTGAAGAATACAACAATGAGGGTTCCACTCAATTTGAACATGTCAGTTCCATGCACCGAAAGCATAGCTTACGTACTATAAAAACGCGCTTAAAAGCCGAGGCTTCAATGAAGAACAAGATTTCTACCACATTTAATTCGAAAGCTTACCGTAAAAAGCTATTGCTGACATCGAAATAGAAATGGCAACAACACAAACTTACGCCTTGTTGAAGCAAGTGCTAATACAACGTTTATCAACATCAGATGAAGCAAACTTGCGTTAATTGTTTCGAAACGTGGCCATTGAAGACAGGACTCAATCACAACTACTGAGATACATGCAAAGCATGACGGGGGCTCATAACACAAAAATAAACCAATTGTGGATGGACCAATTGCCATCCACAATACAAATGCATATGACAACCTCAATGGATGATAGCACTTCTCAGGTTAGCAACTATGACTGATCGTGTACATCAATACTTCAATCGCAGCAGCTCAACAATCACAACACACGATGCCGTAGGTATAGAAGAGTATGACAGTCCAGATGAGTGAAGTATGTGCAAAAAAAAAAGCGCAACCGTCAAATACAACAATAACAACCATGTATTTTCTTTTACCATAAGACATTCGGAAACATAGCAAAGTGCACAAGACCGTACAGCTACCGAACATCGTCAAAATCATCAAACTTTTATGCACCAATTCCAAACAACAAAAAACAAATAAACAAAAACTACGGCAGGCCACAACAAATAACAGCAAAAACAAAGAGCACTACATCAACATCCAACATGTTGCTTTTATTATGCCATCGATAATTCTATGGTTTTTGAGCGATAGAATTTTGCTTGAATTTTGTTTAAATTGTTTGATACTAATTTGACCTTATTTACGTTAAAAATTTAAGACATTTGTGTTAGACAGCTATTAAAAGAAAATTTTTAAGTTAGGTTAGGCGGGATAGTAGCGGGGTTGTTAGTATAGTGGTTTAGGCCTTTGTTAGGGTAGGGTAGATGCACGCTAGAGGCGCTGAGAAGTCGGTACTGCCATTCAGGCAGGATACGTGCCAGCAACTTTTTGTCACGTTTTTGTTCACAAATTTAATTTAATGTGGGTTTCAGTGTCTTGTTCGGTGCACTTGAGAATTTTTTAGTTAGTCATTAGGTTAGTGAGTTTAGTTGAGGTAGCTTATTTATTTATATACATTTCTTAAATACTTATATATATTTACTAGTAATTTATTATTAATTTTTTCTTTTTAATTTTGGAATTTTTGTGATTGGTAATAGTATTCTTAAATTTATAAATTTCTACCAATAGCATTGATTATTTAATGCATAATTTCTAAGTTGTAAAAAAATGGATTCTAGGGAAAAGTGTGCTGCTAAGTGCAGCTCAAAATCAGCTGTTAATATTAATAAAGATGGTTTAATGTGTTTCATTTGCAAAAAAGCTTATCATTTTAAATGTGCAGCAATGTCTGAAGATCTGGGTCTTAAGCTGGTTGAAATACCTGGTATGTTTTGGAGTTGTTCTGTATGTTTACCATCAATGGACAAGTTAATTAATATTAATTTTAAGGAGTTTCAGCAGGTGGTTTAGGAGGATCTATCAATTTTAAAAAAGGAAACTGTAGAGTTGAGGATTGAAGTGAATAATATTTTAAAGAAAGTTGAGAATTCTGAGCAAATGATTGCCAGTGCTCTTCATGAATCTGCCCCAGTGACGAGGATCAATGAAATAGAGCAAGAAATTAAAAAATCATTGTCAGGGCTGTTCAAGGATGAGATATCCAAGAACGTATCTGAGGTCACTGAGGATGTAAGAAGTGTTACAAAGACATTGAAAGAAACTCATGACCGTTTTTTGGCAAACAGAGACTAGGAGTATAGAGCTAAAAATATTATTATTTTTAGATTGGAGGAAAATGATAGTTCAGATACAAACATTAACAGAGATGCTGACAAGAACAAATTAATTGACATTTTCACAGCAATTGTTGGTACAAAATTTGATTTTGCTTTGATTGAAAAATTTTATAGATTAGGTAAGAAAGGGACTTTTTCTAGGCCAATATTATTGTCATTTAAGGATAGGATGACTAAGAATTTGATAATGGAGAATTTAAATAAATTAAATTTATTAGGAAATAACTATAAGGGCATAGGTATAGCTCATGATCTGACCAAAGATCAAAAGGCACAAGTAAAGAAACTGGTGGATGAGGCCAAGGAGAAAGAAAAGGTTGAATCGGGGGAATACATATACAGGGTAAGGGATATTCCAAGAAAGATGCGCATTGTAAAATTGTTGGCAAAAAGAGTATAGTTGACTTAAAATTACTATATTCTAACGTGGACTGTATGGTAAATAAACTTAACGAAATAAAGGCTCTGGTAAATTTATATGATTATGATATTATGCTCTTTATCAAAAAATCCAAAAAATTTGTTAGAGGATATCTTGTTTTCAGAGTTTGTAATTGATGGATATAACTTTATAACTGTCAACTTTATGAAAAAAGGATATAGAGGAGTCTGTTGTTATGTTAAGTCGTACCTGAGTTCTTGTACCATGGATCTTTCTGTTGGATTTAAAAAATATATTTGTGTTCAATTATCGGGATATACAGAAGACCTAAATTTTCTTTTGGTTTACAGAAGTCCTAACTCTGATCTCAATAACAATAGTAACTTACTTGTTCTATTGAAAAAGTTTTCGAAAATTAAGGGACAAAAAATTTACGTGGGTGATTTTAATTTACCTAATATTGACTGGGACTTAGTGTCAACACCAGGAGGTGTTAGGAGCATGGAATCTATGTTTTTGAATTGTGTGAGGGATCTGTATTTACATCAGCTGGTTTCTAAAGCTACTAGGTTTCGTACTTCACAAAAATCCAATATATTAGACTTGATTCTGGTTCATGACAAAGATGTGGTTGCCAACATCGATTATAACTCCCCAATTGGGAATAGTGATCATATTGTTTTGGTCTTCGTATTGAGACATACTTGGAATTTAGTTAGAAAACGTGCCAAGCAAAAATATAATTTTAACAAAGGTGAATATGATAAGATGAGAGTTTGTCAGAACTGAATTAAGTAAAGAAATGTGTGTATTTAAACAAGTTTATAATGTTGTGAAACTCAATGAAGCCTGCAGTTACTTCTGTACTGTACTGAACGATGCTACAAATAAATTTATCCCTTTAATTGATGTTGGGTGTCATAATAATGGATTTGCATTAAAATTTCCTAAAAACCTTATAAATCTGATTCAATATAAAAATAGATTATAGAAAAAATATGTCACTTCTAAAAGTTGTATAATCTTTAATGAATATAAAAAAATAAAAAATGATATTAAAAAAAATATTTTTCAATTTAATAATAATTTTATGATTAATTTTTCAAGAAAAATAAAAGACAATCCAAAAGTGTTTTGGCAGCACATTAATAAAGCCAGAAAAAGTAAAGTGGATATTGATGTCCTTCATAAGTTGGATGGTCAGGGCAAGGTTTTGAATGTTTATGATGACACTGAAAAGGTTAATCTATTTGGACAAAATTTTTATAGTGTATTCAATTTATCTGTGAATGATGTTAATGATACTAATATGGGTAGTAAGTATTGTACTTCATCGGTGGACTATATAACGGTTACAGCTAAGGAAGTTTTATCTAAACTTAAAAAAATTAATAAGTATAAATCAGCTGGGCCAGACAAATTATTCAACAGAGTATTATATGAATGTAGTAAAGAGATTGCACATTTTTATGTAGCTTATTTAATATGTCATTAAAGCTTTGTATGATACCTGATGAATGGAGACACAGTATAATAGTGCCAGTTTATAAAAAGGAGATGTCTGCAAAGTAACAAATTTTAGACCAATATCACTTTGTTGTGTTTGTTGTAAGGTGATGGAAACATTGGTCAAAGATAATCTTATGTCTCATTTTATTAGCAATAATTTATTTGATTTTAGACAGTTTGGGTTTATGCCACATAAATCAGCTGCGATGCAGTTGCTAAAAATGGTGGATGACTGGAGTGTTGCGATTGATGAAGGCAAGGAAATTAATGTGATTTATACAGACTTTAAGAAAGCATTCGATAAAGTTTCTCATCACAAGTTAATTAAAAAATTATACGAATATGGTGTGAATGGGATTGTGGTTGATTGGATTTCTGATTATCTTAGTGGTAGAACATTTGCAGTGTGTATGAATGGAAGTCTGTCTGATAATTTTAAAGTGATTAGTAGGGTTCCACAGGGCAGTGTGTTGGGATCAATTTTGTTTGTTATTTATGTGAATGATATTTTTTATTTATGTAAGAATGATTCTAATGTTGGAATGTATCTATATGCTGATGACGCTAAATTGTTCAAGTGTATCTCTTCTAATGATGATATGGAGGCTCTACAGGCATGTCTGGATGTTTTTTATGGGTGGTGTGTGAAATGGGAGCTTGGGGTGAATGTGGATAAATGTGTCGTTATGAATTATGGGCGTAGAGCATGTGGTAAGAGATTTTATACTATGAATGGTTTACTTCTTGAAAATGTGGAATTTGTTAAAGATTTGAGGGTGATATTTGAACCAGACATGAAATTTCATAAACACATTTATAATACAATTAATAAGTGTAATATAGCTCTAGGATTGATAAATAGACATTTTATGAAATTACCTAAACCCACTTTTTTAATCTTATATAAATCCCTTGTCAGGTCAAAGATAGAGTATGCTGCTTCGGTGTGGTCTTCCTGGTCTTTGAAAGTTATAGAAGATATTGAACGGATTCAGAAGAGGGCCACAAGAATGGTGAAAGATTGTATTGGACTCAATTATGAGCAGAGATTAAAACTCCTCGATCTTCCCACACTGAGGTATAGACGAATCAGAGGTGATCTTATCACAGTTTTCAACATAACTAGGAACAGCGTATTATCATCGTGTTATCCTGTGTTAAAAAAAACCTAACGATGATCGTACCAGGGGTCATCCGTTCAAGTTGTCTACTCATAGTTTTAACACGTATCATGGGAAATTTTGTTTTTCCAATAAGGTGGTTGAGTTATGGAACGGCTTGGATGCGGACATTGTGATGGCTAAAGATGTTGAAACATTTAACATGAAGTTGAATCGACATATGAATTCTACGGACATGATGTTCAACTGGAGATCCTTGCTTGGCACAATGTCATAGTTTATATATTTATATTATCTTTGACATCTTTGTGGATAATGTTGTGTGTGTGTGTGTGTGGGCTAATGCGTGATAGTGTGAGTGTGTGTATATATGTGTATGTATGTACATATATATATGTATACATAGACATTTATCATTAACAATCTGTATTTTCATCCAACTGTATTTTATTTTACTTCATTTATTTATTTTATTATTTTTAAAATACAATGGAAGCTTTTCATTTGCTGGAGGCATAGGAACGTCAGTTCGCGCCTCTCTATTCTCTGTTTATGTTATATTATGTTATAACATTTTAAAGCTTTTGTTTGTCAAGGGAGCTCAGAAAAGCATTATACCTTCAAAACAATGTTCTCGATGACCCAAATTCGACTACAGGCTGCAGGTCGCAAATGTCACCATCATCGACATATTTGGCCAACAACTCGTATCCATTGACCTTGGTCTACGACGTAAATTTCAATGGAGTTTTATTACTACTAACGTCACACAGGCAATATTGGGTGCCGACTTTTTGTCACACTTCGATATTTCAATCGACATGAAGAGACAACATTTTTGACAATGTCACTACTCTACAAGTTCAGGGATTGCCGAATGCTCAAATGTTGTCTGACAACAACATCAGCAAAATTATCGAAAAGTTTTCTAAACTTAGGATTTCAATAAATATCAACAACAAAAATCAACACAATGTACAACATCACATAGTAACTTTTGGACAACCTAGTCATACGGCCTTACGACAGTTGCATCCAGATAAGTTACGAGCGGTCAAAGACGAGTTCGAGCACATGCTCCAGCTTGAAATCATTAGACGTTCAAACAGCTTTTGGACATCAATACTTCTTATGGTGGCAAAATCATCAGGGGATTTGAGACCATGCCGAGACTACCATGCTCTCAATAACGTGACCACACATGATCGGTATCTGGTCTCACATATTCACGATATCGCTCACAGTCTAGAACAGGTGAGAGTGTTTACGAAGTTAGATCTTGTACGTGCTTACCATCAGATCCCTGTAACTGAGAAAGATATTTAAAAAACAGCAGTGACAACACCGTTTTGTTAATTTAAATTTATGAAAATGCTGCACAGATTTTCCAAAGATTTATAAATTGTGTTTTGAAAAAATAACCTTTTTTCTACGCATACATTGATGACATACTGATAACCAGCAAAGCCGTCGAAAAACACAGAGGCCATGTGGAACTAGTTCTTCAACGACCGCACGACAACAAACTACTATCAATCCTGCAAAATGTGAATAGGCGAAATCATTCACAACATTTCTTGGACATCAACTCGACAGTGAAGGCATTGGACCCTTCGATAACAATTTTAAGCAATCATCGATCGGTTTTGCTGAAACAACAACCGACAAATAACTACGCCGATTTATTGGAATGAACAATTTCTACCGTAGGTTCATTCCTAAAGGCTCAACGATATTGTTACCTTTCACTGACCCTAAAACTCAACGATGTTCAGAAAGAGTTTTAGAGAGGCCAAACAAGCATTGCAATCAGCAACCAAGTTGTGGTATGTTCAAAAGAAAGGTAGATTTAAACTTTTTACAAATGTTACAGATGTTGCTGCAGAAGCTGTGCTACAAAAAAAAAGTAACGGGATTGCAAGACCTATTGCTTTCTACTCACAAAAATTTAATCCAGCACAGACCCGCTACAGCACATATACTCGAGAGCTACTGACAATGTATTCAGCCGTTCGTCATTTTCAACATTTCCTCAAGGGTCAATTTCAATTCCAATCGACTAACGCCAAAAAATTAGACATCTCGATTACATTTCACAGTTCACAAAAGACATTCGAAACGTAAAAAAGTAGACAACGTTGTGCCTAGTGCGTTATCGCGCACAATAACGTGAAAAGCAATAGATCTCGACCAAATGTAAAAGCACGAGATAATAACGCAACACTCCTCGACAACAAAGATTTACTGTAAATCAGCATAATCCCGGTTAACAACTCCAAAAATAGTGTCATCTTTGACACTTCATTAGGCATTCCTCGTCCATTGGTTCCAACAAGCATGCGAAAAGCAGTTTTTCAAAATTTCCACTCTTTGTGTTCACAAGCAGCATCAAAGTTAATTAAAATCAAGTACGTTTGGCCTCATATTGATAAAGACATCCGAAATTAGTGCAGAGTGTTTTCAGACAACGCTGCAAGGTACATCACCTTACTACGTCATTTCCAAGGAATTTACTCCACCTAGCAGCAGGTTTCAACATGTCCACATCGATTAAGTCGTACAAATGTCATTGAATGGACACACACGTTTTAACGTGTCGACCATTTCCCCAGATGGCCAGTACCAATCCCAATCAGAAATACTTTTACTGAAACAATAGTAGATAAACTATTTACAAGCTGGATTCTATTGTGTAGCGTGCCAGAAACAACGAAGTGAAGTAGCCAATTCACACCATTAGTTTTCAAAAGATTCACCCAGTTACTAAACATTAGACATTATCACACCACCCCCTACCATCCAGCAGCCAACGGTATTGTGGAACAATTGTACAGACAACTTAAGACCTCGCCTGTTTATGGTTTAGACAAATGAACCGAGGTATTGCCAGTGACACTGATATATGAATTTACATGTTCCATTAACGGCTGTGAACGTTAGAATGTTTCATATATCGGAGTAATTGCAACCAAACAACTGACCAGGCACAAAAGGGAAGGTTCTATAAAAACACACATAGAACACACATAAAATATTGAAACTACAAGAGAAATCCTGGACAACAGCATCAAAATAATATATTGTAATTCCTAACATAAAGCCCTTGATAAACAAACAACAAAAGATTTCAACAATACTCCCGACAAGAAGGACAAAAATAAAATATACCAACAACACCAATGGTACCGATGAAAACACTTAAAAAAGTAACATCGACCAAAGTGCAAGTATTAAAGAGCAAAAAATGATACCATTGAAATTGGCACATAAAACATAACGCCGCCGAAGTATTAAAACATAACACCGAAGCAATAGAACAACACCAAAGTAATTAGTCCGAAACAAGAAACCAAATCAATTAGTAAAGAAGAGAGTAAAATAACAATAAATGCAAATCACAATAAATGAGTCACTTATAGCAATAAATGCAAATCAAAAGAACAAAGGCCTGGGTTATACAAATTATGGCGTGATGGCTCAATAGGGCGGCGTAATGGCTCAATGGTTAAAGGCGCCTGGTCTTGCTGTTATAGTGACTGGGTTCGAATACAAAGAGATCCCCGCCTATCATATGCAATGTGTATGATGGATGTTTTTCACGCGTATCCATATACGCTGTGTGTGTTTGTCGTTTGAAGCAAGCGCAATAGATAGTAACTTTTAATTCTCTGTGGATAATGTAACAAGTACTAATTCTCTATCAAAAACAGTGCTAAAGATGATTGAAAAATCGAAATAGGTCCTATACACTCGTAAATGAATTGGAAAACTGTATATTATTATAACTTTAATAAAACAGATAATGTCGACAAGAATTTTGTTAGAAATATTGAGAAATGTGATAAAAAACTATCCAACACTAGAAATTTGGTAGATCTCATAAATTACTGCAATATTTATTGTCTTTTACCAGTATGTGTATATTTATATATATATATATATATATATATATATATATATATATATATATATATATATACTGATAAGTCTCGTGAGAGACGAAACGTACGCCTGGCCTATGGCAGATAATGGTTTACCAATAATACTTTTTGCGACTGAATGGGTTCTTAAACCTTGTAACAACGTGATGTTGTTCTTACCTATTGGTCGCGACACCTCAATTTGAGTTTCTTGGTTACAATAACTGAGTTGTGTTATCTTAAACCTTATTCGGCAGGCTACTGATGAGTCTCGTGAGAGACGAAACGTACGTCTGGCCTATGGCAGATAATGGTTTACCAATATTATATATATATATATATATATATATATATATATATATATATATATATATATGTATGTAGGTAAAATTATAATCTTTTCATGCACATGCCTCCGTCCTCCCGAAAATAAAATACAGAAACCCTACATACAATACAATATGCAACGTTAAAAATAAGTAATTCAACAATTCTAACCAAATATGACACGCAATTTCTTAAATCGATTTACTATGTGTCTGCAAGAGTTTGTGTTTGCTAAATTTGAATTCAAATCAGTCATTTCCTCACAGTTAGATGAATTTTCTTCTAATAAATCCTCTTGATGTGGCTTGACTTGTGATAAACTCCACTTTACCATTTCATTTGAATTGCCTTTGTTATTACTAAAATTAATAGCATAGAATTTTATGTCATCATCATGTTTCTGAACAAAGTTCTTTAAGAAGTTTTCATATAATGCTGATGAAATAATAAATAAATAAAACGTTTATTTTCGGTTAAAGACGTAAATATTACGTATCTACGTTAATTACTCTTTGGTAAAAATATTCATATTCAAACATTTTCAAACCTTTTGTTACATGTTTTATAAATAGTTTCCTATAAAAATAGACTATACTAATTCTGTTTCGCATAAAAATTCAAAATTTGTTTTTTATTGGGCTGTTCATCGACCTTAATTGTGGTTTCTTCATTATTCGCTTTTCAATAACATTTTAAAATTCTGTAATGTTAATTATACGTTTATAGAACATAAGATTTTAACCAATTTAACATAACTTTACACTTAAATTATTGAAAACTGCAAATGCATGCAATTTTATGCTTGAAAAATCATTATCATGGACCCAAATTTGTATTGTTTTTCATTATTTTGTCGTCATGATTATTGTTATAATTGTTGTAATAGCACTATAGAATTAATTTCTATTATTATTAACGTGATTCTTTAATTCTATGTTTTCATTACTATTTAATTGTTAAAATCAAATAGCTTTGAAATGCGCGATTGTAAAGTTGCTGTATTAAGCATACCATGAACTGTAAAGTTGGCATTCAAATAAACGTTTGGGGGCATGATGTCGGAACAACATTAAATTGCACCCCAAATAAAACTTTAACCCGTTGTAAAAAATAAAAAAATATCCCCCCAAAAATCGCCTTAAAACGGCCTTTAAACGACATTTGTTCTCAGGCGTTTACGGTAGAAAGAGCCTTTTTGATGAGGAGACACCTATTGTCATCAATTTTTTGCCATTTATCAAAAATTTTCATGTAAAACCCCTAATAAATTTTCAAAAAAAACCGTGTCGGAACATTAAAAATTTTTTTAAACGTGAAAATTTAATCCCAAAAACTCACATAAATTTAAAAAAAATAAGACGTTAACTCGTCGTCCTTCGTCGGAAAACGTTTTAAAAATCCCAAAATTTTTAAATTTTGTCCGTATAAACCCTAATAAATTTTCAAAAATTGCCCTAACCATTTTGGGGGCATGTTGTCGGAACAACATTAAATTTTACTTCTAACATCAATTATATCATACTCGGATTTCTCTATGATCGTACTAGGACTAATCAGATTTTTAACTGCTGGGTACTCATTATACATTTATACCATAATTAATCATGCTAATACAAATAAATCTATTAATACCTATTAATTTACCCTATAGTAAACATCAAAGATTACCTTCTTTTAACTTTACACTTATTCCCAGTATTACTGTTGATTTCCAAACCGGAATTAATCCTATAAAAGATGTAGTTGAAAAACAACATTAGATTGCAGATTTAAGAGTATACTAATGAATATTTAATGCCACTAACTTACACTTAGATGAAAAATTAAATTGTTTAAACTTGACTAACAAACAACATCTCATCAATCAAATATAAAGAAATAAGATTAAAAACAACAACCAAATAAATTAAGTACTGTAAAGGAACCACTAAATTTACAAAGTAGTAAATAACGGACCTCGTGCATAATGGGTTTACAAGCCACACTATAAAATAAGGTCCCGAATTCTTTATGAGCTGAAAATAACTTGTTATGAACTAATAAATAAGTGTTTCATTACTTTTTAAAAAGTTATTTTCAGAGGCATAACCAATCGCATACGAATATAGCTGGTTTCTACTAAAAACTATAAATTAGGACATATAAAATAGAATGTAAAATAATAAAAGACAAATTTTATTATTAAATCAATTAATACAATAAATGTAACAATTAACGGGCCTAATAACAGCCATCTTATACTACTTTATCGTAAAATACTAATTTTAATAGCTAATAATAAAAAGATACAAATAGGTAGATATGCAATAAAACTAAATATTACTAGTATTATATAAAATATATAGAAGGAACTCGGCAAATATTATTTCGATTGTTTAACAAAAACATTTTTTTTAGAACCCATTAAAAGTATACCCTGGCCAATGAAATTTTAATGGCCGCGGTATCCTAACCGTGCAAAGTTAACATAACAACTTGTTTATTAATTGTAAACTAGAATGAAGGAGTAAACAAAATAAATACTGTGTCCAATATACAAATAAAATCTATCCTTTAAGTGAAAAGACTTAAATAAAATTGAATTGAAAGACAAGAAGACCCTATAGAGCTTTATTGTAACTATAAGCTTATCATACTAAAATTCGGTTGGGGCGACCTAGGAATATTAAACATCCTAAAATTTATAAGATTAATACATCTTTTCTCTGATCCAATATTTGATCACTAGATTAAGTTTCCTTAGGAATAACAGGCTAATAATTTTTTAGAGTTTTTATCAACAAAATTGTTTGGTAACTCGATGTTGGCTTAAGTAGTCATGAATGGGGGTTTGTTCAACCTGCAGCGATCACCAAATACATCAGTAAACTAATCATCAACTTCAACTCTAAAACTTTCACTAACAGTAAGCATGGAAGCAAAGCCATGTGGGAACAATTCAACAAGATTAGAGGCTCTGAGAAATCACTCAATACATCAACCGTACAGCATATTGATGCCAACACACTCAACACCCACTTTGCTTCCATTTCAACCGACCCGTCCTACAAAATTCCACCAACAAAAGCAACAACAATCAATAGTCATCAACATCATCAATTTACCCCATACTCCGTCCTGCACATGCTAACGAAGGCTTGCCCATCCGGTACAGGTCAAGACAATCTACCAGCATGGTTTCTACAAATCATCGCTTTATTCATCACCTTTTGTTCACTCTACAATCACTGCTTAATACACTCATTCATCCCATCACAATGGAAATCCAGCACAATTCATCCAATTCTTAAAACAAAATACCCATCATCACCAATAGATTATCGCCCAATATCTATCACCCCCATACTCTCACGCATTCTATAAAAATTCATCGTTAGGTCATTCATCTATCCATGTTTCAACCATCCATCAATCAAACCACTATTACAAGATCAGTTTGCATTTCGCCCTACAGGTTCATCTACATCCGCCATCATCTCTCTTACTTCCACAATAACATCTTTCCTTAAAAATAATAATTATGTTCATCTTATTGCCCTCGACTTCTCTAAAGCTTTTGACACTCTCAATCACTTCTCACTTTCAAATAAGTTAGCTTCTCTTCCACTACCTGACAACATTTACAATATCATAATTAATTTCCTATCTAATAGGAGTCATTCTACTCTTTTTAGCTTTACTCTTTCATCTACTTTACCTATTAACTCTAGCGTAGTTCAAGGTTCTGTCCTTGGTACATCCACCTTTATCATTAACCCTTCTACTCTCAAAACTTTCCATAGCTCAAATCAAATCATCAAATACGCTGACGACACCTACCTTATCATCCCATCATCTAACTCAAACACCATCCAATCAGAACTCGACTCATTAACCACATGGTCAAAACGATGCAACCTTTCACTTAATCTCAATAAATCATTCGAACTCATCATTCACAATAGCCGTAAAAAAATAACATTACCTCCTGAACACCCATCAATCACTGATCACTCGCACAAATCAACTAAAAATATTAGGCATCACATTCACCTCCACACTCAATATAGCACCTCATATCAATTACATCATCACAAAAGGCTTTCAAACATTTCACGCACTCAAAACACTCCGTTCACATGGTCTCAGAGGCGTCAAATTATTCGACATCACCGAATCACTCATCATCTCACGCATCAAATATGCAGCTCCCTCCTGGTCTGGTTTTGCCACGCAACAACAACTTCAGCAGCTACAATCTCTCATCAAAAAACTAATTCGCTTCAACTATCTACCTGCATCATATCCTACCCACCTACCGTCACTCAGATATTCAACACACTCAATTCAAGGCTGTTCAAGAAAATAGAAAATAACAACAACCACGTCATCCATCCTCTGCTACCACCAATCAAAACTACAACACACAACCTTCGTCAGCGCAAACATAAATATCAAGTCGTCGCCCCAATCTACATATCAGGAAGAAACTTTCATCACAAGACACCTCAAACATATTAATACTAACTAAAACTTTATCATTACAGCGAACTAGTTTTTATTTATCGATCACCTCACTAACTCACCACCAAACATATAAATACTCATTAGAACTTTATCATTCACAGATTTCACTAAGTCATCATTTAGTCTATTAATTTGCCGTTACTTCATTTTATATTCCATTGTCAATTACTTTTATTTTATTTTTTTATTATTATTATTTATTTTATTCTAACTAATTTCATTTTTTATGTTTTAACATTTTTCTTTCTCACTTTTTGTATTTATATACTTACTTATATGTTTTATTTTGTTCTACAGCTTTGCATGTTGTTACAGTTTCTGCGTCTGTCAGATCCTGATTTTTAAAGAATAATAAAAAAATAATAGAATAGTATCATGATTGATATGTTAGTCCGCAGATATGAGAAACTAGGAATCATGTGTCTAATAGATGAATAGGCAAGAATTGTTTTTGCATCAGTTTGATTTAAGCCTACTACACCACCAATTATGATCCTAAATAATAAGAATACAATTAATTCAATATAACCGCTTTTTACGTTATTAATTATAATTATTGCTGGAGCAACTTTTGTCATGTTGATAGAATTATGGCTCCTGCTCAGTCACAGCATTGAAGAACTGATGGAAATTAGTAATATGATGGGAATATCCCTATTTTAGTTATTAATGCAAATGATAAAATTATGCAGTATATATTTATTGACCCATAATTATTATATATTAAAAACCCAGAAAATAGTATCATAGATGAAGCAAATGCTTGAACTACAGGATACTTACATATTGCTTCCGTATTTTTTTGTTTGGTAGATTTTGTTATAAATGGGATAAATCTCAGTATATTGATTTCTAGCCCGATTCATGTGCAAAATCAATTTGTTCTTGATACCGCTATGATTGTGCTAATAATTATGATTACAGCTGATAAGCGTATTGTTGGGGTTAGTGAGCGGATAAAAGAAATAATCATAATGGATTGATGGAATTTAACCACTTTAAAAAGTTAGAAGCTTTTTATTGTACTTAAATCCCTAAGATAGTCAATTAATTGAACCCTCGTTTCATTCATGGATTAGCCCAAGTTGGAGAATTAATAGGAATAGTAGAAAAATTATAATGTGTTGAAATGATAGTGATGTTGCTATCAGGATTGGAAACGGTATTAATATTACTACTTCAATGTCAAAGACAATAAAGATAATGGCTAATAAGAAAAAGCGTGTTGAGAATGGAAGGCGGCCAACTTATTATAGTTTAGAAGTAATTTTGTTTATTCTTATTATAGGCTTATTTGGGTCCTTTCGTACTACAAATGAATTTATATTTTATTGAAGATAGAATCTAACCTGACTCACGCTGGTCTGAACTCAGCTCATGTAACGATTTACAGGTTGAACAAACCCTCATTCATGACTTCTGCGTCATGGTGGTTTAAGGAACCAACATCGAGGTGCCAAACAATTTTGTTGATAAAAACTCTAAAAATTATTAGCCTGTTATTCCTAAGGTAACTTAATCTAGTGATCAAATATTGGATCAGAGAAAAAATGTATTAATCTTATAAATTTTAGGATGTTTAATATTCCTAGGTCGCACCAACCGAATTTTAGTATAATTAGCTTATAGTTACAATAAAGCCCTATAGGGTCTTCTTGTCTTCCAATTTTATTTAAATTTCTTCACTTAAAGGATAGATTTTATTTTTTTTATTTTTATTTATTTCTTATTCAGTATTTATTTCTTTTATCCCTTCATTCTAGTTTACAATTAATAAACAAGTTATTATGCTACCTTTGCACGGTTAGTATACCGCGGCCATTAAAATTTCATTGTCCATTACACCACCAATCAATGGGATTCTTATAATAATACATGAGACCCTTATTCTTATTCATGGGAATATTCTAGATATTCGATATAGGCCAAATCCATCTAGTTTAAGTAGAATGGCTGCCATAATCATAGATCCAGCAACTGGTGCTTCAACATGGGCTTTTGACAGTCAAAGATGGGTTAAGTATATTGGAAGTTTTACTAAAAATCCTATAATTGTTATAGAATGGGTAGATTAGCTGGCTATGTATTATAAAATTTGATCTATTAGAATAATAGGTAATTATAAGTAAGCATACAAGTATTGGTAGTGAAGCCAGAACTGTGTATATAATTAGGAGTCCTAGCTTGTAGTCGTTCTGGTTGATACCCTCACTTTATAATTAAAATTGCTGTTGGGATTAACGAAGCTTCAAATCACATATAAAAATATAAGATTTTGGAGGAAGAGAAACATAAAAATAAGATAAAATTTAACACTATAATAATAATAATGAAGTATTCGCCTCTATTTATGTTTGGTTAATTTTGTATCTTGCTAAAATTATTATAGCTGAGATTCAAATTGTTAAAATAATTTATTTGCCATTATTAGTCTAGAGACTATAAATACATTATAATAGGACATATTTAGTTATATATAACATGAAATTACTATAAGGTTAAAAATTAATAATGATCAGTATTTATAATATTTAAATATTGCTAATATAGTTAATAGTGGTAATATAATCGCAAGCATTTTTTTAGGAAAATATTTCTGACTGTATCGTTTCCATATAGACGTACTATGGAAACTAGTAATGTTTACCCTAACCTAGCTTCATATGCCCCTAGGGTTAGTATGACTACCCTGAGTAATGGTACTGGTGTATTAAATAAAGTTATGAAAAAGACAGGTAAAGCAATATTCTAAGGGTTAGCACTTTTAAGCATAGTAAAATATGAAAAAAATGAGTTTTGAATATAATTAGGTTAGTTATTGCAATAATTGGTAGCAGCAGTATAATTAATATTTGATAGGTCATAGAACTAGGGTATAACCTTTCTTTGATTTACAAGAGCAATGCTATATAAGCTTCTAGTTCTTCAGATAACATGAGCAATGATTTTTAGCCCCCAAAGCCAATATTTTTAAATTAAATTATTATCTGATATGATATATAATATATTTTTAACATGAAAAGCTAATGTGCTGTTTACACCACATATAATATTTAGAAGGTTTCCCTATTTTAATATCTTCAATATTATGATTTATTTAATCTATCTAAATAAAAAATTATATAAGCTACAATGGCAAAAGATGAAAAAGATAGTGTAATATAGTTTAAGAGGTTTGAGCTGTTGAAGCTTATTAAAATATTTGAGCTTGCCCTAATTTCTTTATGAAGTCCTAATCTTTCAAGATACTCTAATCATGACTGATCTACAAGTTCTAGGTAGAGTTTTGAAACTTTTATATAGTGACCCATTATAAATTGAGTGGATACTGGTGTTAAATAACACATATAGTATAGTTTAATAAATTATCTTCTTATTATTAAATGCTCAAAATCGAGCTAGAATTACCCCAAATAGGACTATAATTAGTGGTATTTTTAACATAATTTAATTTTAAAGCTGTAATTCCTAGAGATAGGTATAATAGTATTAAGGTTATTGTACTATTAATGCTTGTCATAGATATTTCAATAATTATATCTTTAGTATAAAATGCTGATAGAAACGGAAATCCACTTATGGCTGGTTTGATACTATAATACATGAGGATGTTAATGGTATTTGATTAACTAGGTTTCCTATTCATCGTAGGTCTTGTCTATGTATATGATTTTGAATTAATAATCCGGCACAAATAAATAGTAATGCTTTAAACATAGCATGTACAACCATATGAAAAATATGCTAGCATTGGTAAGTTTAAACCAAGTGCTGTTATCATTAACCCTAATTGTCTTAATGTAGACAAAGCAATAATTTTTTTCATGTCACATTCAGTTGTAGCTGATAGCCCTGCCATAGGTATAGTTATTATTGCCACATATAGTAGAGAATTATTAAATCATGTTTATGTAGAGCTTGATAGAAATGGGTAAAATCGAATTAATAAAAATACCCCACCAGTTACCAATGTTGATGAATGGACCAGAGCAGATACTGGTGTAGGTGCAGCTATAGCTGCAGGTAATAACCTACTAAATGGTATTTGCGCTCTCTTTGTTAGTGCTGCAGTAGTAATTATTAATACTTGTATTCAAAAGTAATCATCAAATATTCACATAGATATTACATTTCAGTGGCCTTGATTTAGTGTCATACCAAATGATAGAAGGATTATTACATCCAGGGGCGTCATTTCAGATCTTGGTTGGGGGGGCGAACTTATGTGGTCTATGACTTAGCATGTAACACACACACACACACACACATATATATATATATATATATATATATATATATATATATATATATATATATATATATAGATATATTATTAATAAAGATCACGGCGTTTCTTACAGTACTCAATCTATATGATAGTTTCTCGATTCTTCGAATAATTCTCCGATCTACTAAACTTAACTTGTTAATGCTATTAACAAAATTCCTATTTACAGAAGATGCCATTATCTACATGTATGCATATAGTACTATTTCCACTACCTTGTCTCGTCAGTGCAACATTATAATAAATTATACATTTTTAAAGTTTTTAAAATTTCAAAATTTTTAAAGTTTTAAAATTACTAAATTATATATCCTATATATATCCTTTTTACAAAGAATTTAAAATTAACACTTATAATTTAAAACAGAACATGAATTATTGTAGGAACAAATGAAATAAATTGTATAGCGCTTGACATTTAAAAATTCAAAAAGCACAATATTTTGTATATATAATTATAATAGATTATATAATTTTATATAATTATTTTATAGTGTTTGCA